CTGACACTGTGTTTCCTTACAAAGCATGTCAGCGCATAGCCAGGAAGGCTCCTCTAAGGCATAACTGAATAAAAGTCCTCCCACCAGCCTAATCATAACCAGTGGTACAAGGCTTACAAATGGTCTACTCCAATCCACATACCTTCAAATAAATAAAGCTGGAGGCAGGCGGGTGAGTAGGTAGCGGTAGGCAGGAAATTAAAAACAGCAAGCCATTTGCCCTACCCAACAAGGATAGTCAGCATAAGATGTGTTCCACCCCAGGCTCCTGGGACTCTGGGGAACTTCAAGAGGACTGCCATTGTGAAACTGTTCTCTCAATAAAATGTTAAGAGTCCCCTTAAGAATGGATGGTCTTCGACAGTGCCATTGCACACATGAACTCACAGAGACTGTGACTATATGCACAAGACCTGTACAAGATCAGACCAACCAAAAATCCCAGCATGGACAAGACAGGGGCTCATGAAGTCCCACCTGAATCTGAAAAGCTACTGGCAAGCGGCAGTTGGCTGAAGGTGGGAGGCTGCAGCCCCTGAGAGGCTAACCATGCACACAAAGGCAGCAGCACTAAGTGGAGTCTGGGTTTAAAAGGAGAGAGAAGATGAAGCTGGAAGAGAAAAGTGGTGGGATATAAGGAGGAGTTGCAGGAGAAAGAGTACAGAGTGGTCTGACTGAAACATGTAAAATGCACATACGAAAATACCAAGAAAGGAATAATAAAAAAGGATGAAGGGTCTTAAAGCAATTATAAAGAAGTCATTAATCTGTATTCTAAAAAAAGGAAATTTACTGAAGTTAATTCATGTATCAAATTTGTATACATTTTGTAATATAATGTATGTCTAAAAAAATTTCTTATTGGAAGACCTATACAACCTGGTAAATAATGTAGCTTTGGAGAAATAATACATAAATGTCCTGTAATTTTAACTAATAAAGTAATTCTAAAAGCTGGAAAAGCTACTACTTTAGTAATTTATGTTTATGCTAAAACTCAAAATGACTTTTAATCAAAGAAAACCAGAATTCCATCAAAAACACTTCAATCATAAATAAATGTTTCATATAGAAGTGTATGAAAGAGAGAAGAGGGAAAGAGAAGGACATGAAGATTGAGAGAGGAGAACATAAACAACTAGTAAATCCTAATCAAAAGTCTATGGGAATTTGGGGCACTATTTTTATAAGTTTTTCTTTTAAGTTTGGTAAAAAAGTATCAAAAGTAGAAACAAAAAAAAAAATCTATCTCCTAAAAACTTTGAAATGTCACAGCTGAATATTCTGTATAAAACTGCATTTGGCTCTATTTACTCCATGACAGTATCAAATTAAGAGCTATTCACTTTCCTACAGTAAGAAAATAAATTAACTAAAAGCCAAGTGCATTCCATGTTCAGTGGGCGGAGTCACACAATGAAGTGTGCTTAAATCAGAAGCCAGTAGCACACACTTCCTGAGAAGCAGTGTTTGCTGACACTCATCACTGCCACCACCTTGGTTTACCACTGTCAGTTTGGGGAGGAGACAACATTCTCCACGGAAGCTGTAGGACACCCTACTTTGCTCTGCCGTTAACTGCCATCTATAAAGCCCCAAACATTTACAAAGTCATCCCTTACATTAAGAATCATTGCAACAACAATGAAGATGTTGCTCAGTGATAGGACAGATTCACCAGTATTTAAAATACAATTCAACTTAAATTTTCTTTTAACTTCCCAGCCTATTTCTGAGGTATGCAATTATTCTATTTTTAGGTAGATTATTGTTCTAGACAGAATTGTTAACCAATATTTAGGGAAGTATCTATTACTGCCAATTTTTCTATAACCAAGAGCAGCAGAATTCCTGAGCTATCACTGAGGGGGCTCAGTGATCTACCCCATTTATAACATTATCTACTAAAACACACATTAAAGCAAACTGTTCCAACTATACTAGAAAACCATCAATACACTACACCAACTATCAGGCCCATTTCTTTTCCTCAGCTAAATAAGAGATGTTTCCAATGCAAAAAAAAAATGACTTTAGAAAAAAAGAACACATCCCACCAGACAGTGATGAGACACACCTTTAATCCCAGCACCTGGGAGGCAGAGACAAGGTGGATCTCTGTGAGTTGAGGCCAGATTGGTCTACACAGCGAGTTCCAGGACAGACTCCAAAGCTACACAGAGAAACCCTGTCTTGAACCACCACCACCCCCAAAAAAAAAAAAAAGAGCACATCCCATTATGTAGGCCAAAGGGCAGGATCAAACACACCAATATTCGATACAGACTCGTGATTGACCCAGTCAGGAGAAGAGAACTGACAGCCAAATAACTTTAAAATAAACATTATTAATTTCAAAGAAAGCTCTCCTGAATAAAGTGAAACAAAATACAGTAGAGGTTAAAATTTAAAAATAGAGAAAACATGAAGCTTTGAAAAAGAAAATTAAATATAACTTAATTTCTTTTACTTTTGTGCTTTTTGCTTTGTTTTAAACATACCCATCAATAAAATCACTAAATACTGCCATGCATGGGGGACTTTCTTTGCTATAATAGCTATCAATAATCTAAACTGCTCACTTCCCTTATTTCATTTTTGGCTTTACATGATAAAATAAACAAACTGAATAAATGTAAACTACAAAATGCAAATACAAAAAGCAGTAACAATTTAAGTGCTAAAAACCAAAACCTTCTCGTTAACTAATTAAGTCAACAATCCACAATGAAATTCACAACATAATAGCATCACAAGTATTCAACTCAGAATTTGCTAGAATACATATTGGCAAGAATGGGAGCTAAAAACAAAGCAAGTTCAAAGGGCTTAGGCAACCTGACTGCTATTTCAGGACTAAGCCAGGGCAGGTAGATACAAACCATCCCTTGCTGAGAACACATGACGGCCAGGCCTGCAGTATAAAGGTGGGTTGTCTCCAACCTTCATCCATTTATCTCATGTGCTGTTCAAAGCTTACTATGTCCTATGTGTTCCATGACATGAGCTGAGGAACCTTCCAGGTAAAGTTACTCACACATCTAAATATCCAATCTTTCCTCTGATACCTACATAAATATTAAAGAAAATCATTACAAAATAATCAATGATTCTCACCCACGTTAGGTTTAGAAATTCCCATCTAGATTTTAATGACAAATGTAGTTAAATCACTATAACTACACGCCAAGTGGATTTTTTTCCAAAATAAGAATTTCTGTTACATTCGAGTCCCACTTTCTGAGATTTAGAGCTCCCTAAAAAACACAGCATGTGACCACCGTAACACTCCTTAGACTACCTTTATTGTGGTGGTCTATTCAAGAACAACTTCTTTTTTCTACATAATATCATCAAATTGTCAAGAAAAGGAAATGTAACCCAGTCTGATCCAAAGAAAGTTTGAAAAGAACCAAAGTCTAAGAACAAGTTAGCCAAAGCAAATACTGACTAGGTAACCAACTTTTAAAATTTACATTAAAAGCATGTATGTTTCTGAGTAATTTCTCCAGAATGAATCTTTAGTCACTCCTATAACTGAAATTTAACACCATAAGCCCTATATAAAGGATTAGGAGACTGTCTTCCTCTCCTCCTTTCTTTCCCAATGTCCATTCCCATCTATCTCTATGCTAGACTATTGGACCACTCAGTGCACCTCTGTGGAGTGAGTCAACATTACTTTCTCATACAGTTCCAGCTACCACCCTCTACACACACAGTCTTCTTGAAAGAACTCCTCAAATTTCATCTAAAAATATTAATACACAGAAGAGCTACCACACACTAAAAACACAAGTATCTGTAATATTTATTTAGTACGTAAATACAAAACAGTGAGATCAGAAAATGAAAATACAAGTTGCCTGTCCTCAGAAACTCATGTAACGATGATGCTATAAAACTCTAAAACTAAAAAGAGAAGTTTAGTTAATTTTCAAAGGAATTTTAAGTTAAAAAATCTTGCAACTTCCATCCTAATTTCCATGAACTCATGACCATCTTCACTGGAGCTGGGTTTCTATGATATAACCTCATACAAAAGTTCATGCATGGAACTGAGTTAGCACACGGAGCCTCTCCCTCATCTGGACCTGAACACCTCCAGTAACTGATCCTGTTTGTTCAAAGTACCCCAATCAAAACAAAACAAAACAAAACAAACAAAACAAAAAAAAAAAAAAGGCACAGGAGATGTTTTAAAAACCAAAGGTGACTTTCTGCAAGGATCTTTTTTAGAAAGACTCAAATATTTCACTATAAAAATAAACTTTAAAAAAACGAAGAAAGCTGCCTTAATTCATATTAAGGTAAATACAACCAATGTAAACAATACACAAAAAATGTAAACTAACATTCTAATAAGGAAATGCTCACACTATCCCAGAGTTTTCATATTCAGAAAGTCTATACTTCCAACAGCCATTTAAGACCCTATTCTTTCTTCCCACTCTAAAAGTAAGCAGTTAATAACAATAAAACCCAGTTCTGCTTACAGGCAGAAGTGAACAGAAAATATGACATATACTGTCCCCTTAAAACTGAGAAGATAATTTTTTTTCAAATCTTCTAAGATATCCTTGTTTTCTTGCTACATTAAAAGTACTGATAGATTTTTGTGGTTTTCATAAATACATTAACCCATGTTGCCCTAGGATGAAATTTTACACAATAAAGCCTCTCCTAGTTATGGTCAGCTCCAATATTTCCTCTCATACTTTTAGAATCACTTCCCAGTAGAAAACAGAAAGTCAATAGCTCTGAAGTGTTAGAATTTGTCAGCTAATAAGGTAGGGCAAGGTGCCCTCATCATATTTAACCGCTTAGTGTAAACCAAACATCAAAAGTTGTCTCTCGTGCCTAAGAGACAGGTCACAGCACTGAGGAGAATAAAATCCTTCTCTCAGGAAGTGCATACTAGTAACATGTTTCTTCTCTTGTTAAGCAAACAATATAAAAGCTCCTGAGGCAGCAGAAATTGAACCAAACAGGGCACTTACTCATGACTGGAAAAGTCTGTGTGTGTTGTCCCAATCCAGTATTAGACCAAAATCTACTGTCCAGGATTTCTCAGAGGAATACATATCCTGTTCTGGAAACAGAGAAAAAAGAAATCAGATTTTCTAAAGGTCAATGGTTAAAGTTTTCTACAAGGAAATGAAAATAACTTTAATTCAGCTTTTTCTATTACCCATAGAACTTCTAGTCGTTCTCTTTTAAATATAAAAGATTACTACTAATCACCATCCAATTCACAGGTCCCTCTTTCTAAAACAAGTACCTTCAAAAAGGCAACTACCAGGGCTGAAGAGATGGCTTAGCAGTTAAGGGCACTAGCTGCTCTTCCAGAGGACCCAGGTTCAATTTCCAGCACTCACATGGCAGCTCACAACTTCCTATAACTCCAGTTCCAGAAAATCTGACACCTTCACACCAACACATATAAAATAGTTAAAATAAATTATTTTTTTAAAAAAGGCAACTACCATGCAGAAGCTTAGTACATAGAAGACAACTATCAAACAGGAGCTTAGTATGTAAAAGGCAATTGCCATACAGAAGTTTAGTATGTAGAAGGCAACTGCCATACGGAGCTTAGTATGTAGAAGACAACTACCATACAGAAACTTGTCATCTTCAGTCTTCAGTACTACAATTATTCCTTCCCCGTTCCCAGCTAATAAAAATCAAGGAAAAGAAGAGAGCCCTGCCTAGGGTAAATAAAACATATCATGCCTGCTAAGTCTATTTTGATTGCATACAAAGTATTTATATAAGCCTCAAATAATGACCACAAGCATTAGTGCTACAAACTTTCTCTAATGATGCCCATTTCCTCAGTATAAACATAATATGAGTTCACATTTATTTAGGTATGTGTAGCACATATCCTTTCAAGGAGTTCTAAGCATATGTGTGTATATATATGTGTGTGTGTGTGTGTCTGTGTATAAATGTATATTATGTATATATGTATATATACATACATTTGCTAAATAAATTGAAATCTTTAGACTTTAGTTCTCTTCACTCAAGTGTAATATAAAGCATTGCTTTATATTTATATAGTGTGGGTATCAATACTAAAACGCACTTGACCCTTGACTAAGATTTGCATTATAACATCTTCCTCAATTGATTAGCACATTTTTAGATAAGGCATAGTGGTATATTTAAACAAAAACATGGATGCATAAATGCTCTTAGATATAATACATAACTTTACAGCTTTGCAATTCAATACAAAATGCAAACTTGCATAACTTCCTTTTTTAACCAGTAAACTACTACTTACTGCAATCATAAAAGTGACACCTGATTTTCTAACTCACTCAAGAAAACAACAAAACTGTAGCCCCTTGGCTTTGAATCAAAGTTAGGGTCACCCTTTTAAAGATTCTGTTTGCTATATCCATATGCTGTACTCAGATTATGTAAGATGTGTAAGCAGCACACATTTACACAATGTAGAAATTGCATCAGCATGTGCATGTACCACATGCTGCCTACACTGTAGTTAGCAGCAGTATATAATCATAGTTCTGCCATCCTGTCACCTGACCCCAGCCCACAGGCTTTCTCCTTCATCTGTGCATTAGCCAGTGATTATCATTCCCAGATAACCAAGTTATCCCAAAGAAATGAGTGCCGTGGCAAGTCTACAATCGCATAGAATCCTACATTAGATTCAGGTACACTTTCAAAGTTTCTCATTACATTAATTGGATTTGATTTCCTTCCTTGGAAACTAAGAGGCAGAACATGCTGAATGACAACAAGGAAAGGCAACCAAATGTCACAAAAACATGTCTCAGAGGCCCCAAGAGTTCACATGCATTAACACTTGGAGCAACTACTCTTGGCCCGGAGCTTGTTTATAGACATTTTTAATGTTAAGTTTTCTAAATGGTAGTATCAAAGTATCCTATAGGATATAATGCCCTCTTCCTGTCATACCATAAGAAGCTGAATAAATCCTTAATTCTAGTATTTAAGACACAAAGAATTTTCTCAGCTCTAAAAATATTATCTTTAAAACATTAGGACAGGGCCTCAGCAGTTAAGAAAAATTACTGCTCTTCCTGAGGAACCGAGTTCGGTTACCATGACCCACATCAGATGGCTCGCAGCTATCTGTAACTCCAGCTACAAGGGATATGCAAAGCCGCAAGGCCTCTGTCTGGCCTTCTCAGCTACCTGCACTCATGTTGCACATACCCACAAGCAAACATATACACCTACACATAATTAAAAATGATGTTTTTAAAGTCAGGATAATAAAACTTATAAACACTGGATGCCTACAAACCCATATGAGGTAACAAATGCACAGTTTTACAGTTTACAAACATACAAAGCATGTATTAGAATTTAATGGACAGACCCACGGAGCAACTCTTAGAAATGTGGTCTACAGGGAGAGTTCCAGGACAGGCTCCAAAGCTTATGAATGACCCAGTGAGGTCACATAGTCAAGGTTCTTTATCACAGCTTCAAAAGAGAGATCTGCTCCCCAGCCCCCACCCCCACCTACTTTCACAGTAGTAGTCTGTCAAACAAGTGGCTCTGAAGCAGTAGCAAGATAAAACATTCAGGGTCCTTTCTACTCACCTAGTTACCCTTCCCTAGAGAAGAGTAATGTCTCAAAATACCCAATTTCACACACTAAGCATTTTGTAGCTTTTCTGCAAAAGCCAGCATTTATCTTACTTTTGACATACTGGCCTTGGGAGGTGTAGCAATATGCCTTCCTGGAAAGGGGCAGAACCGAGTACACCTACCTGGAAGCTGTACAGCAGCACCAAGTTTGCCTACATTCTCTTGGACAGCACAGCATGAGAAATGTTCACCCAAGGAGGCTGCTGGCCCCAAAATGACACATAACTGTGGACAGCTCACAGCTTATGACCAAACCCAGCTAAACTCAGCCAAGGTTGCAGATCTATGGCTGCCTGCTGACAGCCACTGAAATTTTGTGTTAACTACATTATTACAGCCATAGATGACTAAGCCAGAGAATAAAGATCCTGAGTTTAGGAGCAAGAGAGAAATCTCGGCATGACAGAGCAAGGACTCTTTCTGCAGAAGACCCAGGTTTGACTCCCAGAACCCACGCCAGGTGGTTCACAAATTCCTGTAACTCCAGATCTGCACTCACATGTACACATATATGCAAACACACAGATCCACACACATACATGTAAGTAAAAATAAAATAAATCTTAAGACATTGACTTTAAAAACAAATTAACTAAACTGGGAGGTGGTGATGATGTATGCTGTTAATCCCAGCACTCAGGAGGCAGAGGCAGATGGATCTTCTTGAGTTCAAGCCCAGCCTGGTCTACAGACCCAGTTCCAGGACAGCCAGGACTACACAGAGAAACCCTGATTGGGAGGGAGGAAGGGGAGCAGCACAGAGGACAACAACAATAACAAAAAAGCAAAAAACAAAAATAAAACACTGAATTTTCAAATTAAAAATACTCTATCCAAAAATCTAGGCACATACTTATCATAGGAAACAAATCTAAATAAGTAAAGCATATAGAAGCTGGAAATTAAGGCATTAAAAATGTAGAATTGGCAAATACTGACTAAAATAGAGAGATGTGGCTATAACTATGCCATGTTTGAGTTAGGATGTAATCAGAAAAGATCGTGGAGCTGGGGCAAAGCTCAGTAGCAGAGCACTTGCCTGGCACATACAATCCCTAGCATCATACCAGAAAAAAAGAAAAATTTCCTAACAATTTTCCTGACTATAAGAGAGAAAGAAGGAGAAGGGCAACTTAGCACAATACTGCTTATAACAGCAAAAGAAACAAAATACAAAATTTCTACAGAAGAATTAATTACATAATCTGTTTCATTTAGCATTATGAAACAGTGAAATGAATAAAAGTATGCATAACAACCAAAAACAAAGAATCTCAGAAGTATTACTGATATATAGCCATGTCTACTATATTGTAAAAGTATATACACAGTGATATGAAGGATCCATGAAATCATTTGTATAATGTTACATAATACATAAAGTTAACAATGCATTATTTAGAGGTATCTGCATACATAATAACTATAAAGAGAAGTAAGGGAATTGAGGCTGATGGTTCCTCAAGCCAGCAGTGGGCTGGGATAGGTCATTCAGGAGCAGACTGGTAGCATCACTTAAATTGAGAGAGGGAACTGAATGGATGTCACTGTGTTAGTCTTTATGCAATATGTAATGTCTTTTATGAATCTAACATTTGACAGTATTCTAATATAAAAAAATCAAAAACATTCCAAAGGCACAGGAAATCTAAATACATAAACATGTAGCTATATGTATAAGGTGTTAAATGCAGTTATAATTTCTAAACAGCAATTAAGAGAGAGAAGCAGTTGTAGTGACTCACTCATTCCTTAGGAGTAAAAGACAAAAATCCAAGTGAGGGGCGGCTCTACTACAAACTACAAGGTGGGTGTTTGTGGGGTGTGTTGTTTATGTGGAAAGATCTGGTTAGACACTAGCCATGTGCAGAACAGCTGGCTACCCAAAGAGCTGCATCATTTGTGCTGTCTAACCAGTGCAGTGCCTCCCGTCACCTTCACAGCTGTGTAGTACTGTAGTATTACTATGTAGCTCATTTTTCTAAATTACTATTTGTTGAAAAGTCATCTCTTTCCCCCGTCCCACAAAATACTTAAGAAAATTTCCTTCATCCAAGCATTAATTATAATATCACAAAATTTTAAACTTAAATTCCAATAATAAATAGCTGACTAGTTAATTCATCATCAATAGTCTCTCATGTCCATTAAAACTGTCCAGAAATTTAAGGACAAGAAATGAATAAACATTGCAATGGCCTTCACACACCTTCATCACAGAATCATCAAGAAAGGAATATCAGAAAGTAAGCTTCATCCAACTCAAGCCAATACTTACGACTACTGTTCAGTTTTTTAATTTAAAACACATGATATAAGCTGGCATGGTGGCATATACCTTTAACCTAGCACTCAGGGAGGCAGACACATAAAGAACTCTACGAACATGAGGCCAGCCTGTTCCACAAAAGAAAGTTCCAGGGCAAGCAAGGC